TTTCTCCTTCCTTCCTTCCTTCCTTCCTTCCTTCCTTCCTTCCTTCCCCTCCTCCTTTTTCTTCTCCCTCCTCCTCCTCTTCCCTTTTCTCCTTCCTTCCTTCCTTACTTCTCTGTGTATTTCAGGAGCAGCTCAACAAGCTGATGGCCACTTTGCACAGTACCTCTCCCCATTTTGTCCGCTGCATTGTGCCCAATGAGTTCAAGCAATCTGGTATGTGAGTTGAAGCCATCATTTTTCATCTCTTAAACAAGCAAACCAGGTCCATTTTTCTCTTTGGGAAATGCCCTACATACAGCGGGTGACTTAAGAAAAGACACGGGTGCTTTGAAGGGTTCCAGATAGATGCTTTGTTCTCAATCCTGCAGACTTTCAAGCACCTTTCTGGAGCCGAATCTAAGGGTTTTCACTGCTTTACGGATTGCAATACTAAAAGATGGATTTCTGCTAAGCCTTAGCTGTACTGCCAAACTGGAGAAAAAAGAAGAATGGGTTCCAGTGCAAATAAAGGATTAAAAGATCCAGAGGAAAATATTTAGATAACATATTTAACTACTGTATGCCTTCATTGACTTGTCTCTTGTTGGACTGCGTGAGAGGTTAAACCACGAAGTATAGTTTGCAAACTACAAAAGTTAGGATCCACTTCACACCAAGCCACACACAAACCAACCCCCTTATATGGCTTACCATGATGTGAGATGGTTTGTTTGGCTTTAGCCAGCCGTTGAGGTTAGAAAACGCATTGATGCTTGATGTGATGTGCAAAATGTTAGTTAAAATATCTGATTCAGTAAATCACGATTAAACAGGGCATGCTTCAGCATAATGTATAATAGGTTGCACCCATGGTTAAGGGCAGTGTAGCATTGTATTCCAGAACAAGGCAGAAAAACACTCACCAAGACAAGAGAGTCAAGTCAAGATCCAGATCAAAAGGGTGAGATAGCTGCCATCTTGGTCACCAAGCTGAAGAAAGCTTGAGCAAATCCATGCAAGCCACTGCCTTGCAGAACTTCTTGTGATGGTTGGGGAAAGATGGTCATCCGGCTTTGTGTCTCTACAGGTGTGGTGGACGCTCATCTGATCTTGCATCAATTGTCCTGCAACGGTGTCCTGGAAGGTATCCGTATTTGCCGCAAAGGGTTCCCCAACAGGCTGCAATACCCCGAGTTCAAGCAAAGGTGATAGGGTTGACCCTTTCCTCCATCCTTGGTGTGTTGGGACCTTGACATCCCAAAATCTCATCCAGACCCAATAATTCCTGTTTGTGTTGTCTTAATGTCAGGTATTATGTGCTAAATCCCAACGTCATTCCTCAAGGCTTTGTGGACAACAAGAAAGCCTCTGAACTTCTTCTGGCATCTCTTGACCTTGGAGAAAATGAGTACAAAATTGGACACACTAAGGTACTAAGACCGGTTTCTTTCCTTCAGGACAAGACAGTTGTGCTGGAAGTTCATCGACTTTCCCCTTTTCATTGGTGGTCAGCTTGGGGTGGGCCCTTCTCTTCTCCCTTCTCTTCTCATCTTTCAATCCTCATGGACCCAGGAGAGTTTAGGGAGCTGGTTCTTACGACTTGATCTTGTGAATGGATTTGTGTACATAAGTCCATTGTTTTCACAGGTCTTCTTCCGCGCTGGAATCTTGGCCAAGTTGGAAGACATGCGGGATGAGCGTTTGGCCAAGATCATGACCATGCTACAGAGCCGCTGCCGTGGTTTCCTGATGAGAATTGAATTTAAGAAGATGCTGGAGAGAAGGTAAGGAAATAGATTATATCTTCCCTTCTTTGCTTTAAGAAGGGATTGGATGGATGGATGGATGGATGGATGGATGGATGGATGGATGGATGGACGGACGGACGGACTAGGGGGTGACATGATAGCAGTGTTCCAATATCTACGTCAATCTATTCTCCAGAGCGCATGAAGGCAGGATAAGAAGCAATGGATGGAAACTAAAGGAGAGATTGCACAGCCATTTGTCTGAAGTGGTGTAGGGTTTCCTGCCTAAGCAGGGGGTTGGACTAGACAACCTCCAAGGTCCTTCCAAGTATGTTAATCTGTGATTGTGAATGGATGAATGAATGAATGATGCATTAAAATCTACCCTGAGATCAACGTTCTGCCAGAACAGTATCTGAATGAGAATTTGTACCAATAAAAGATTCATGACATGCATTGGAACTTCTCAATCTGCTTGCCTATTTCTTCAAATAGGTTGGCTTCTTCTTTTATTTTTTATTTTGACCATAAATACAACAAATAAAACCATCTTTCAATTTTACAGTGTCGGTTGGGTACATATATCCTGCGCTCATGCTATTATTATTATACATTTCTTATTTAATTATATTCACAACTTTTTCTAATCAGCATTCTATATCATAGTTCCATTATCGTATTTTCATTAAAGTTTAATTTCAATTCTAGATTATCTTTCAAAAACAAATCTTAATACTTACTAATTTATATTCATATTATTACTTATCGATTATAATATATTTTAACTATTACAACATATTTCAGGTTCTCGCTCTTCTATCTAACCATTCATAAAATAAACCCCAAATCTTATAATACTCTTTTTTTTCCCTGTTCTGTAATTGCCATTGTAAATTTACTCATTTCCACACATTCCATTATTTTCTTAATCGTTTCCTCCTCTGTCGGAATTTTCTCATTTTTCCAATTTTGTGCAAATACAATTCTAGCTGCTGTTAATACATTAATAATCAAAGATGTTATCTCTTTATTATAACCTTCAGGCAATATCCCCAATAAAAATATCTCTGGTTTTTAAATCTATATGCTGTTTAATCACTTTTTCCAACCCTGTGTGTATTTTTGTCCAGTATCTTTTAGTTTCTATACATGTCCACCATATATGGTAATAGGATCCGGGTGTCTGATGACATTTCCAACATTTCACTGGGATAACTTGTCTTCCTCTGGTATATGTCCACTGTAGATTTATGTCCAGGCTTTTGAGAAGCTACTTGTGTAGGCTTTAGAACTTCCTGCATCCACAAATACAGAGATAAGTTTATCATCACGCCATTGGAGGGCCGTGTTTACTTCTTTTCTAACTTTAGTTTGTCTCTCTCTCTTTTTTTTAAACCAGGTTGGCCCTGATGCTGATCCAAAGAAACATTCGCAAGTTCTTGCAGATGCGTTACTGGGGATGGTGGAAACTTTACAATAAGGTGAGGCAGTAGTGGAAGGAAGAGAGAAGCTACCCACCCAGGGCTTCAGGTTGTAGCAAAACAAAATGAGAGTTGTTGTTTTTAGTCAATGGATGGCTTTGGACAACAAGCAGCCATGACCAGGAGAGACATTCTCCGCCTGTTTATTTGACAAGAAGAAACACTTTTTGGCAATATGATTAATTGTCCATGAGAAAGAAGGTGGAGCTAATTTCCACCAAAAAGGTGGAGGTAACTCCTACCCAAAGTTTGTAATTCTGTTATCTCTGGCTGTGTGTCTCGGTATGTGTGTACAGTGTTTTTATAAGTTGTAATGTCACTTGATAGGTTGGGTGCTGCTTGAAATCTCACAAAATTTGGTGATCCTTTAAAAAAACACGTTCTTTATTCTTCTGGCTCTTTTAAATAAATTTGGAACAGCAATCTAATCCCCAAAACAGTTTCAGCTATCATGTTCTTCGGGTATTCTGAAATAGGATGCAAAGGTTTGTGTTGCCTGTCTGTCCGTGTAGCGCATTAAAAACATCTTCTGAAGTGGTGTCAGTACATAATTTTATGCCCTTTATAAAGCAAATAGAAAACTGAGAAGGGTTCTCTTAGAAAGTCTGAGTTTTTGAAGGGACATGGGGGTAGAGGCGAGTGTTTTGGAGGGATCCAGTTGGTTTTTATCTCAAGCATAATGCCAGTCCTTGGGTCTTTTCATTCCATGGAAAAGTGGTGGAGACTTGGACAACATAACTATGTTCGGAGATGGCCAGAGATCACAGAGGGTTTCATCTTCTACTTTGGTTTCCCACCTGTAGGTGAAACCTCTGCTGAATGTGGCTCGCCAAGAGGAGGAGATGAAAGAAAAGGAGGAAGAGCTGAGGAACGCCATGTCCAAGACTCAGGAACTGATGGACCGCGTCAAGGAGTTGGAGGAGAAGTTGGCCACCCTTAGCCAAGAGAAGAATGATTTGATCATCCAACTGCAGGCTGTGAGTCCACTAAATTCATCCTCAAGGAAGGATGCGCAGCTTCTGTTGCATAAGATGTTGAGGAGTGCCCTCCAGAAGTCAGTGGGGTTAGAGATATTTTGGATGGTAGGCATTTTCACAGAATGGTTTCCTTTGACGGCAGAACCATTTTGATGGTATTAAGGGGAAAAGCTACTAATCTCCATGACTTCCATCCGTTCTGTGGGATCCTTGGTGCTCTTGAAGTTGGTGGGTTTCTTGCAGATGTTTCATTAGGTGACATCACCAGTACTAGAAGGGAGGGGTGTTTGCAGGGTGGCGGAAGGAAAAGGGGAGGAGGAAAAGGAGGAGGTGCTCTATGGGCTCCTTGGTGCTCTCTGAGCTTGGTGGTTTTCTTGAAAATGTTTCATTACTCAACTCGGTAACATGATTAGTGCTAGATGTCAACTCACAAAGCATTCCTATGCCTGTTTCCAGTTGCCATAAGCAGGAGGGGGGGGGGAAACCTGAAGGAGCAGTACGGCAATTAAAAACAGAAGTAAATCCCATGCTTATTTTACAAACATTGTAACCTAGGCGCCAGATCTTCTGCCCACAAAAATCCTTTATTGGAGAATGTGATTGATGACACCCAGCCCATGAGCATTTTGTTCGAGAATCCGATTTATGACACACTCGGGGGGAGGAGGGAAACAGGGTCACAGGTGACCTTAAATTACATGTGGCAGAGTAGGTTAATGCCAACCTTGTCAACTCATAAACATTTTGTATACACGTTTTATAGTTGACAACAGAAAGAAGGGGGGGAGTTTCAAAGAGCCGGCGGCAGTGTGGAATCGAAAGTACACTCCATTCATATTTTCTTCAAAGACTGATTCGATGGCTGAAGCTTCTGCCAAGGAAAAATCTAATTGGAGAGCAGGATTGGTGACTCTTGGCTATGGACGTTTTTCATTGGATGATACACCCAGAGGGGTAGGGGGAGAAGCAGGATCAAGGGTGACAGTGAATTACATATCTCAGAGTTGGCTATGCCCAGGTTAGCGCCAGATGTAGAATGTTAACTTCAAATAAATCCTCTTTAGTTTTGGGAGTGGGGCTCGAGGCTCATGATTTATTTGGAGTAACTGCCGGAATCCTGACAGATACGTTGGTCCTAATAAATCTTTTGAAGCTTGGCTCAAGGCTCACAATTTAATTAGGGAAATCACCAGAACCCTGACACTAGAAGTGTTATCCAGTTGGGTAATGAAACATCTGTAAGAAAACAACCAAGTTTAGAAAGCACCTAGGAATCCATAGTTCAACCCTGAACTACAAATGTTCCTTTAGGTCAATTCCATCAATATACCCAATCCTCTTTTTGTAGCCAGTGAGGCTGGTAGCCATCAGTGCTACCTCCTACAGATGGTCATTCAAGTAAGGATAACAAAGAGAATACCAATATCCCCTCTTATTCTCCTTTCAGGAACAAGAGAACCTGATCGATGCGGAAGAGCGCCTTACTCAAATGATGAAGGCCAAGATGGAGCTGGAAAGCCAGATTTCCGACATGGGAGAGCGCCTGGAGGAGGAAGAAAGTGCAGCGGCCTCCTTGAGTGCCAACAAGCGCAAGTTGGAAGCAGAGCTTAACGATCTCAAGCGAGACCTTGAGGGGCTGGAGACCACGTTGGCTAAGACTGAAAAGGAGAAACAAGTAAGCATTTTGCCCTTGGTGGTGGCCCTTGGAAGACATGTTTTGGGTTGTTCTTTGTGGGTTCTGGAAGTGAGAACGTCCCAGTAGAGTCACACTTGCCATGACTGGTACATATATTAGATGGATCAAACTATGTCTTCTTCCATCTTCCTCCTTCCCCTTCCTCCTCCTCCTCCTCCTCCTCCTCCTCTTTTTTCTAACTTCGTTTCTTCAATTTTCCTTTCGTGCTTTCTTTTCCTTCTTTCTTTTTCTTTTTTTTCAATCATCTTTCTTCCTCTTTTCCTTCCTTTTCTTTCTTTTCCTTTTCCTTTCCTGTTTCCCATCTTTCTTCTTTCTTTCCTTCCTTCCTTCCTTCCTCCTTTGCTTTCCTTCTCCCCCTTTTCCTTCCTTTCTCTCTCTCTCTCTTTCTTTCTCTTTCTCTCTCTCTCTTTCTTTTTCCCTCCCTCCCTAACTACCTAACTGTATATCCTTAGATTAGTCGTCTGCTCAGGATGGATGGTTCTGTATGAATTTCTCTTGCTTCTTTCAAGGCTCTTGATCACAAAGTCCGAAATTTGACCAGCGACCTGCAAGCCCGGGACGACTCGGTTGCCAAACTCCAGAAGGAGAAAAGGGCACTGGATGAGCTACACCAGGTGGGAAGGAACCAACTCTTTTCGTTGACTCACATAAGGTCCAGGCTCATCTTACGGATTTTCATAGATCAGAATCCCACCTTTCGGGTCAAGGCAAAGATTTACGCCATGCAAAGACATCACACCGATAGCCCTCAACTTACAACCACACTTGGGACTAAGTGGTGCGGTTATTAAGTGAGGCAGGCTTGATTTTATTACCTTTTCACCACGGTCATTAAACCAATCCCAGGGTTGTTGAGCGGTTATGGCTTCATCCGTTGAAACCGTGCGGTGTTCTTGGTAACCTTTTTTTGACATGGTTGTCATTTGAGATTTTAATTGTGGCAAAAGGGGCGTCTTTGGCTTCCCTTTGAGCTGTTTCTCCAACTTGGCATCTTCTCCTTACGATGTTCTTCCTTCTTTGCAGAAAACGCTTGATGACCTTCAAGCTGAGGAAGACAAAGTGAACCATCTGACGAAAAGCAACAGTAAACTCAACACTCAGATAAACGAGGTCAGCATTGCCTTCTCATTCCGCAGGGGTTGGAGCAGACTTTCAAGCAAAGGGTTTGTATGGAGAGATTGCAGTGGCCTTTTTACAAAGGGTAGGGCTGGAAGGAACCTCGGAGGTCTTCTATCTAGTTCAACCCCCCTTCCCAAAGCAGGAGTCCTTATTCTATCCTGGACAAATAGTTGTCCAATTCTTAAAACCCTCCAGTGTTGGAGCATCCACAACTTCTGAAGGCAAGTCATTCCACTGATTAATTCTTCTCATTGTTAAGTTCTAGGTTGCTTCTCTCCTTGATTAATTTCCATCCATTGTTACTTGTCCTGCCTTCAGGTGCTTTGGAAAATAAATTGACTCTCTCTTCTCTGTGACAGCCCTTTGGGAAAGTGCTATCATGTCACCCCTAGTCCTGCTCTTTATTAAACTAGATGTACTTAGTTCCCTTAACCATTAATTATATAGTTTGACCTCCAAACCTCTTTGTGATGACCCAAAGGGGTGTGGCACAAAAGCAACCAAGTCCCAAAAGTAGGTCAAGTCCCTTTGATACCTCCAACTTGGCCCCCAATGTCCAGTTATCATCGGCTGGAGAAAAAACTCTCCCAAGAACAGTTTTTAAAGGGAAGAAATTCCATCCAAACCCAAAGTACATCTAAATTGTAAATAAAAACCAACACAAACCACGCTGCAGCAATTAACAAGACAGGGCAGGATAAGGGATGGAAGACTTCAAAAGATAACAAAAGACACACAGGTGGGAGGATGTCAGAACCCAGATAAGACTTGAGAAACAAAGATAATTCACACTTTGCTTCCAGCAAGGTGCTGTGTGCAAACGCCCTTTTTAAATCCTGTTTTCCCAGCTACAACTAATAAAGGCGATCAGTGCCCTTTTCTCCCCTGTAACCCATATAACTCACGTTGCTCCTTTCTCCGTTCCTCCCTGCGTTCCCTAGGATGCAGAGGGGGTGGGCCCGGGTCTTCCTCTGAATGCCCAGCCAGACGGTGCCCTTCCTCCATTTCTTCCACAGCCACCGAAGCCACACTCCCACCCCCTGCTCGACCTCCCCCTCAGAATCAGATTCCAACAGGGGCATGACACTCTTTATCCTCTTTAAACTCTTTCTAGGACAGGGGTGTCAAACTCAAGGCCCGTGGGCCAGACCCGTCCAGTGGGGTGCTTAAATCTGCCCGTGCAACTCTCCCGAACTCCGTTTTCTGCTGCGATGGCCTCCTGCATCCCTGTGCTCTGTTTTCACTGGCAGAGGGCTGCAGGAGGATCCCCCCCCGGCCTTGCTTGGGCCCCACAGGTGCCTCCAACATGAGTGACATCGATCTGGCCATGTCCACCCCAGCCACGCTGCCAGCCTTCCCTCCCCCAAGGTCAAACACAACCCTGATGAAATCAAGGTTGACGTCCTTGTTCTAGGACCTCAATACCGGTTTTGCAACCCGGTGATTTTTGTATCGTTGTTACGTTTCCTTGGTTGTAAATGGTTCCTTTTTACATTTCTGGTTCCTTGGCTTGCCTCAACCAGTTGGAAGACAACTGGGAACAAGAGAAGAAAATCCGTGCTGAGGTTGAAAAGGCCCGTCGCAAAGCAGAGGGTGACTTGAAGATGACCATCGAAAATCTGAACGAAATGGAGAGGACTAAGCTGGACTTGGAAGAGGTGGTGAAGAAGTAAGTGGCCCTCACTTCCTTTCACATGAACCCTTGGTTTGTAGAACAAACCACTTGACTGAACTGGCCTAGATGGGGGTTGATGTCTGGAGAATTCTGGCAAATGTAGTCCAACATTCCTGGAGGGGACCAGATTGGGAAGTTTGATCTTGATTACTACTGCTTTCTGGATGTATTCTCACAAGCTAAGCTAAAATGGTGGCTGGGTATATATTTCGTGGTTCAGGAGGCTGCAAAAACCAACCATAGTTTATTTGAGTGTAACACTTTGTGGGAACATCCCAATCATGGTTTGTGAACCTGAATGCAAGCTTTAATATGATGTTTGAAGCTACACATCCACAGTCTACAGTCCCAAGAGGCAACTGGTCTTTCTGGTTTGTCCTTTGAAGATGTTTTGCTTCTCATCCAGGAAGCTTTTTCAGCTCTAACCTGAAGGAGCTTCTTGGATGAGAAGCGAAACACCTTCAAGGAAAAAACAGAAAGACCAGGTGCCTCTTGAAAAAGCAACTTTGGGACAGCCAGGACCTGGATGATGGAGAACCTCCATAGACACTTACACATCCACAGAGTCATTGATTAAGCCTGATGTATCTTCTCTTCCAGGCGAGACTTAGAGATCAATTCCATCAACTCCAGGTTGGAAGATGAGCAGGCTCTGAACTCCACCCTTCAGAGAAAACTGAAGGAACACCAGGTAGGGGAGAGAAAGACAGATGGACATTATTCCAGCTTTGAAGAATAGGTTGACCATGACCCCCTCTTTTTGTGGCAGCCCCTCAAATATTGGAAGGCTGCTATTATGTCACCCATCGTCCTTCTTTTCAATTAAACTAGACATACCCAATTCCTGTAACCATTGCTTTACACCTCATGGAGTTCTTCCTTTTCGTAGGCTCGAATTGAAGAGCTGGAAGAAGAGTTGGAAGCAGAACGGTCCTTGAGGGCGAAGGTAAATCTATTTCTCCATAAACAAAGAAGTGGCTCACTCAAGACAATGTCTCCATCCAGTTTAGAATCCTTACAGGGATTGCAGGACGAGGCAAAACATTTCAAAATCAAGTTGTTTCTGAAGTTTTTATTTATTTAGTTTATTTGATTTGTCAATTGCTAACAAGATAACAGGTATAAATATAAACATAGTTACGAATACATGAAATGGATACATATAAGAAAAAGGGGTGAGGTCCATAGTAAACAGTCTAAGGTTAAAGTTTTGGGGGTTTGGGGAAGAAACCACAGAGTCAGGTAGAGTATTCCAGACATTGACCACTCTGTTGCTGAAGTCGGTATTTCCTGCAATCAAGTTTGGTGCGATTAACCTTGAATTTGTATCTATTGTGTGCTCTTGCGTTGTTATGGTTGAAGCTGAAGTATTCATTGACAGGTAGGACATTGCAATGTATGATTTTATATACTCGTCCAGGCCATGTTTGAAACATTGGAAATCATTTGTTTTCAGGGCTCTTTTGAACACCTTGAGCATTTCCCAATTACCCTGAAATGCTCCTAGAAGTTCAAATCAGCCTGTTTTGCAGCTGTAAACCTCTGTTTTGTTGCCAACTCAGGGCAAAACATTTTGATAAAATGGGTTTGGATCTTTCCATTGCCTTGCCCAGCCCACCTGTCAGGGTTGTTGTTGTGGGTGGGGGAGGAAGAAGTATTAAGTATGTTCACCATGTTGAGTTATTTACAAAAAAAAGGCAGGATGAAAAAAATCTAAAATAAATTAAACATTGACTCTGTTGTTCTCCTTTCACTTTGCTTGGCGATGTCTCCTCATCTTTATTTATGGAGCTTTTTAGGACAAGGTATTTGGGAAGAAAAAGAAAGAAAGAAAGAATAAAAGAGAGAGAGGGAGAGAGAGAGAAAGAGAAAGAAAAAGAAAGAAAGAAAAAGAGAGAGAGAAGAGAGAAAGAAGAAAGAAAGAGAGAGAGAGAGAGAGAGAAAGAGAAAGAAAGAAAGGCAATGGGAAAGAGAGAAAGAAAGAAAGAAAGA